CATATCCTCAGCACATCGTCATATTATTTGTCGTTCTCTTTGATGCTTTCATGACAAATCAGGCATTAAAAAGGGGTTATGTTCAAAGAACATTTTACGTGTCAGATCCCACTTCTTTTTTAATTCTGGACTGTTGCGCTCCGTGCCACTGACAGAGTTCACTGCTGCCAGCAACATGTTGCATCACTCTGCTTTTTTTGTTTAGGTGATCCCCAGTCCCGTAACTGCGACAAAACTACTTTTCGGGCCCCCACCACCCACAAGTGTCTCCACTAACCTCCGGTGAAATTTTGCTTTTTTCCTTTATCTCGAGGTCCTTCTGCTATTTTCGCCGACAGACATTAATACTTGCATCTGGAGTCTGTTTTGATATGCAGATCGCATTCATGAGGTCGTTTGCATTGACCATTTATGGTTAAAAAAGGGGCGTGTACAGGGCGGAACGTAAAGCTGATTCAGCTGGCGCACAATTTTGTAGGCCTCTGTGATATTTATAAAGCAAAAGATTGCTTACAGGTGTGAGTAACGCAGGGTTTTATGAAGTTGAATAATTTTGGCGGCACGCAAAACTTGGCTTTTGCGGCGTCACGTGACACTTTTAGTAACGATCCACGCACAGTTTTTATAAATGAGACCCCAAGGTCCTTTTGTGTTTGGTAGATTGTGATGTCTGGACCCGCGGCTTTGCACTGAATGCAAGCATCTGCAGGGACACCTCAATATGTAAAACAACCTGGCAGGGGTCGTTCCCCGAATGCCTGCAGTGGGCAGAGGGTGTGGAAGCACTTTCCTGGAGGGCAGACCCTACAAGCGACAAAGAGGGTGTGAAAGAGGTGGGTCGTCAGGGGGTATTAAATGTTTATATACAATTCTTCATCTCTTGAACCGCTCGTGTGTTGATTGACCTTTTCTTTGCAAGAAAAACTAAAACCTTGTCGGCCGGCAGAAGTTCTCTATTTCATTCTTCACCAGCAGCAGAGAAATTGCCACAACACTGTGTATTAAGGAAAAGAAAAGAAAATGGTTATACTTAAGAGCAAGTGAGGAAGAAGTAGTCAGATCCTTTACTTACTAGTTTAAATACAATGTAAGATACACCATTGCAAGGAAAAGTTTTCCATTAAAAATCCTACTCCAATAAGTATTATCAGCTTCATGTGGTTAAAGTATCAGTAGTAAAGTACACAAGTAATTTTAGCTTTACGAAGTATTGTCAGTAAACAATCATTATCCAATAGAAGAATGCAATTTATTAACAAACTTTTTTGACCATTTCATTGAAAATAGTACATTTATAAACAAATACATGTAAAGCTCACGTTAAATCTCATCAGTCAGACTTGTGTATGACACAACTTGCTGCTCCTCATCTATATTTCATTAGCTGGTTAGTTAGCACCATCTAATGGACAGATAATGGAACTACATATCTGATCAGTGATTTCTCTGACACTGACTGTAGATAGAGGAAAGGTGCGACACTATCTCAATGCCAACAACGTATTCAGAGGATTAAAGCTTTTGTTCTTGCAGCCTTCATCAACTATAATGACAAATGGATCTGAAACAATACAAACACATCCCCAACACTCATAAAAATGCTTCTGGTAGGGTGGAGTCTGACTCTTGTTCTGGTTCTGACGTCCTCAGATCAAATGCACACAGACACCAGGACTGACGAGGAAGAAAGGAGCAGCTTCTTCTCTCCCAGTGTTTCCTCCACACATGAAGGTGGAAAGTGTAAGTTCACCTGAAGTGAGTTCAGCAGGTGAGAATCTTACCAGAGAAATGTGCCAAATTGGACACCTGCCTTCTCTTGACTCTTTCACTGCAGACCAATCAGAATCTCCTACGAGGTCTGCTGACACAGACAGGAAGTAGCTCACAGACCAATAAAGAGAGGAGAAACAGAAATACTTACAAACCTTTATCACTCTGCCATGTGAGAGAGCTGGTCCTGACCTAGTTAGGATAGAAAATCATTCTGACTGTGTTTCTTCCTCCAAGGTGCACCATGGTGGAAAGCAGAGGTTAAAACCTGATGTGAGGAAGTGTAAGTGTGGATTCAGTTTGATTAATGATGGCAAACAGCACACAGTTTCTCTTTAAACACAGAGTTGATAGTTGTTGTATTTATTCATTCAAACTTTACTGAAACAATATCATCATTCAACTTTATAGAAATGAACATCATCAGTAAAGAAACAAAGAATAAACCTTCAGATGTGTCTGATGATAAA